TCTACTCCGGGACGGAGGATCAGTTGCTCTCCTTGGCGCACATCGATCAGTTCCACGCGCCCCTTGACCTCGTTGAGCATCACAGTCAGGTTGTGTCCAACAAAGGAGAGTCCAGCAGAGTCGATGGTGAATCGGCCTTCGGAAGTCAATCGGTGATATCGACGCTCGAACTCGACGGGCTCATCAAAGATTGCTGTCATGGATGGCTCTTGATCAACGCTGTTGTTGATCCCCATGGCGCTTGCTACTGGATCAGTGACTATCTCATCGAACGAGTGGATCGTCACATTTCCTTCGAGCGTACCGGAATCGGGCGCCTCGTTCGGATCCGGCATTACAACGACCCCTCGATCCGCTGTGATGTGGACCCGGCGACCATCACGCATGAATATCCAAGCATCGGGATTTACGAGTCGGCGTCGTCCACCCCCCATAGGTTCGAACTGATCAGCTTCCAGTGTTCCTGCAACGCGGGTTGGATCATCACGATCGACAATCGTCACGAGCATCCGTGCTCCCTGCTCTAGATCATTCAGATCAGGAATCTCGCTTGGATCATCAGGAAACAGGTTGTCAGGATTTGACGGCGTGGTGACTGTGGTCGTGTTCATTGATCGCCAAACAATGATCGCGAAGACGATGAACATCACTGATGCGATCGTCAATCCGATCATTCTTGGGGATGGGCCGCTCGGTCCGGGCATGGCTCAATCCTAGTTCAGCGCTCCTAACATGACTCAATGTCGCATCAAATGCCTTCGGGAACCAACTCAAGCACGCTCAGATGGACATCGTCCGATCGTTTAATCGTCGATTCGGATGACCAACCCATCGCGATCATTCAAGAGCATGATGTCCTGAGCATCCTCGAACACTGGTCCGATGTGTATCAAAATCAGACCATCGTGATCCCCTGCGGTGAGCACAAACAGTCCGATCCCGAACCCTCTGCGGCATTGCTCAGTCAATGGTCGCAGGATTCATGGGAGCCATTCAACGATGCCTTGAACGAGATTCTGGATCGAGCAGCAGGAATGAACACCAAGGTCATTATCCTCCCAGGTGCCGGTGGTCGGCTCTCTGACGCGATCTGCACCCTCTCCTGGGCCGCGAACCACCAGAGCGTCCCGCTGCTGATCGATCCGGCGCGTTGGTTGACGCCTTCGATGATGCGGGATCTCAAAGATCACCTGATCCGCTTCACCACACTCTGCGATGAGCTCCCGAATATCTGGGGTGTTGTGACGCGGAGCGTGCAAGCTGATTCGGAGAATGTGCTTACGCCTTGTCCGATCGGGAGCGGATTGATCGACGAGCAGCTGCTTAACGACACGATCCGGACGATCTCTGCTCCACGCTTGATCGAGTGCAAGTGAGTCAAATCCGATCCCCTGAAGCGTCTGAATTGACTACAATCCCGCCATGAGCACCGCTGAGAAACAGTCGATCAACCATCCGACCTTCGCGCTTGTCAAAGCCGAGTTCCCGAACTGCACCTTTAAAGCGACGCAGTTCCGCGACCAGCCCACGCTGATCGTGGACAAATCGGACTTCCACAAGGTCATGACCTTCCTCAAGAACGACGAGCGCTGCTGCTACGACTTCTGCTCCGATGTCACAGGCGTCGACTATCTCAACTATCCAGCAAAGACCGAGGGGCGATTCGCGGTCATCTACAACCTCTGCTCCTACTCACGCACAGATCGTTTCTTCGTGAAGGTGTTCCTTGATCCATCGATCCCAACCGATGGCAACGAGAAAGATCCGGCGCTCGAAATCGATTCGGTCTGTGATCTCTGGCCGGGCGTCGAGTGGACTGAGCGTGAGGTCTACGACATGTACGGCATCCGATTCATCAACCATCCAGACCTGCGCCGAATCCTGCTCTGGGAAGACTACCCGGCGCACCCGCTCCGTAAGGATTATCCGCTCCGCGGACGCGGCGAACGTGAGGACTACCGCATCGTGGACCGCACGAGCTCCTGATGTACTGAGTAATCAGCACCCTTCTCTGAACGCTTTGAGAAAGGTGCTGACATCAAAGAAGTTGAAGACGAGATTGTTATCAAAGTCTGCCTCGTATCTGCCTTGGTAATATGCGTTCACAAACGTAGATATATCGAGAAAATTTAGCGTGTCGTCGCCGTTAAGATCCGGTGTGCAAACCGCACCAAAGAAGTATGTATCTCCACCTCCGATAGTATTCACTTCATTGTCGGTCCCAACCCCAATCAGTCCATTGTCCATCGCGATGTCGATCTCATAGAGTCCAAAGTCACCCGACGATGGCTTGAGAACATGGAGTAAGCTGCCACTCGCAGCATCGATCATGTGCACTACACCGCCGTGGTAGTTGTTAAACATACCAACACCAACAATCCCATCCACAAACTCGACATCGTCGCTCATATGGTACAACACGGTCCATGGCGCGTACCTTGCGTACTGGGTGCCGCCATTGATATCAAATGTGTAGACAACACCTCGCCGGTCGGATCCGTCCTCGATCATGGACAACACCGCGATCGCCCCATGGTCCATCGAGATCGATAACCCAAAGCTCTCATGATGATCAGCTACATCCTGCGGCACGACCTCTCTATACAACTCGCCCGTGCCCAGATCGAACACCTGCACAACACCGATTTCTTCACCCCCTCGGACATCCTGAGAGTTCACAGCCAGAAGACCATCTTTCAGATCCACACTATGCCCGAACCAAAAATTGAGATCAATATGATTACCAGGCACAATCGAATCAAGCTGCTCACCAGTCAACGCGTCAAAGATGAAGACTGATCCATACCGTGTTCCGTCTGGTTCGTTGGTGACACCCCAGACCGCGACCACGCCGTTCTCTATAGCGATCGCATGCCCAAACCACCCCACAGCCAGAGGACCATCGGGGCGAAGTGCGTGGAGTTGATTCCCCGTGCTTGCGTCAAAGATATACGCCGCACCAGAATCAACATCAAAATCACTATTCCCCCACGAATCTGGGGCGCCAACGGCGATCAATCCATTGTCCATATCAACCGCGAACCCGAACTGTCCAAACGGCTCCGGGTCGTCTGCCATTAAGGTATCGATGTAGGCCGAGCTTTGGGCGTCGTACAGATAGACAAACCCCTGTTCTGGCACATGGTCTGGAACTTGATAAGCATTCCATGCTCCCACAGCCATAACTCCATTATCGATCGCGACTGACGCCCCATAGTGATCCCACCCGGGCGCGTCCGGCCCAACATTGTACCAGTGGTCTTCATGAACAAGCTGCGCTTGTGCAAATCAGGCAACTGCTAAAGCGGATGTAATCCCAAACATCTTCAAACAGTTCATAACTACTCCCAATATATGTAACATCGCGATCGCCACTATATCGTCTGCGACCGTGATCGTATTATGAATCAGCCAAACTTTAAAACTTGTCACGCCGGCAGGTACAAGTTCTTGGCTTTGAGCAAGTGCGCGATCGCATCGCGTGCGGCTCCGCGTCCACCTTTGCGTGCGGTAATGAACGCCGCGGCTTCGAGGACCTCGGGTTCTGCGTCGTGGACCGCCATTGGGAATCCGATTCGATTCAAAGCAGGCAGATCCGGCCAATCATCCGCGAGGTACGCGATCTTGGAAGGATCGGTCCCGGTTTTCTCAATGATAACATCGAGTGCTTCGGATTTGTCCTTTGAACCTTGGATGATCAGATCTGGATCGACCTTGAGCGTAGCGAGTCGGTGTTTCAGAGCTTCACCAGAGCGTCCGGTGATGATCGCGATCTGAAAGCCGTGTGTGAGCCAGAGGCGCATCCCGAATCCGTCTCGGACATTGAACTTCTTTGTTTCGGATCCATCGTCATTGATGTTGATGGTCGCATCGGTCAGTACGCCGTCGACATCGAAGATGATGAGCTCGATTTGCTCGGGATCTGAGTGTTTCTTTTTGGTCATGAGTGTTCTCGAACCAGTTTCATCGCGATCAGGTCTTGGACATCGAGTAATCCCATCGGCTTGCCGTCGGTATCGACAATCGGGATCTCGTCGGCGCGGTACTCGCGGAACATCGCGACCGCGTCCGTTGCTTTTGCGGATGAATCGAGCGTGCGCGGATTCTTGGACATCACCTCGCTCATCGGTTTCTGCAGATCATCCGGATTGCTCAGCACCAATCGGCGCAGGTCCGAGTCGGTGAAGATCCCGCTCAGCTTCCCGTCCGCATCTGTCACCAGCAGAGCGCCTGGACGACGCACAACACGCGCCGCCTCATTGAGCGCCTCATGCACCGTGTCTGTCTCGCGCGCGATCGGGAGGTTGTCTCCCGCTTTGAAGCGGACCAGCTCCATCGCGGGACGCAGGAGCGATCCCAGCTGTCCGCCGGGGTGTCTCGCGTGGAAATCTGCGTGACTGAACGATCTTCTACGAGCCGCCGCAAGCGCGATCGCGTCCCCGATCGCAAGTGCGACAGTCGTCGAGCTCGTCGGCGCGAGGTACTCGCCGTCTCCGGCTTCCCCCACCACTCCGACAGCGAGCACGACGTCAGAGAGACGCGAGAGTGCAGATTCTGGAGCGTCGTCCACAACCCCACGCGTGATCGAGATGATCGGGAGTTTGTCCTGACGCAGGATCGCGGCAAGGTTCACCACCTCCTCCGTCTCACCAGAATGACTCAGACAGATCACCACGTCCTGCTTGCGGAAGCGTCCGAGGTCGCCGTGCGCCGCTTCGGTCGGATGGACGGCATGGGACGGGATTCCCAGGGATGCGAGCGTTGCGGAGATCTTCGCGCCGATGTGGCCGCTCTTCCCGAGTCCGGAGACGAGGACCGTGCCGTCGTTCTGGGCGCACTGGACGATGAGATCGACCGCTCTGACAAAGTCCGCTCCGATCCGATCAGCGACGTTGGCGATCGCCTGCGCCTCGTGCTGGAGGGCGCGGGCCATGAATGCGAGTTCCTGATCGGAACCCTGCTCGGCACCATGATTCGTGGTTTGGTCCGTCTGCGTGCTCATGGACAAGGGTAGGCCCCCACCGACGGATTCCATACGCTACACTATTGATGTGAGCGATTTCTACCGCGTACAACTCGATGCTTTCGAAGGTCCAATGGACCTTTTGCTCTACCTCATCCGCAAGCACGAGGTCGATCTGCACGATATCCCGATCTCGATCATCACGGATCAGTACCTTGGGTTTCTAGACGATCTGGACTCGATCGATATTGATCTTGCTGGCGAGTTTCTCGTCACCGCCGCGACCTTGATGGAGCTCAAGTCCCGCATGCTCGCGGTGGACGTCGTCGAGCGTGAGGACGCTCCGGACGACAAGCAGGAGGATCGCGAAGACCCTCGCGCCGAGCTCGTGCGTCAGCTGCTTGAGTACAAAAAATATCGAGACGCGGCGACGATGCTCGAACATCGACAAGCCCAATGGGAACGACGCGCCCCAGTCCATAGCGCCGGGATCGACGACGAGTCCGTCCGCAGTGCTATGGATGAGATGGGTGAGCTGGAGATCGAGGATCTGGATCTGAGCGATCTCGTCGATGCATTCCGCGCAATCGTCGAATCGGTGAACTTTGATCGCTTGGGTGAGCACGAGGTCATGAGCGATGACACGCCGATCGAGGTGTACGCGGATGACATCGTTGAGAAGCTCAATCAATCGATCTCGCGTGACGCCTCTCAGCAAACAACGCTGCGTGATCTGATCATCAACAAACCGAGACAGCAGATGGTCGGGACATTTCTCGCGCTGCTCGTGCTTGTGCGTGATCAACGCGTGCTAATTGATATGCAAGGTGATGAGCCCGTTATCAATCTGAATCCGGATTACGATCCCAGCAGCGATCCGGCGTCTCCCGACAATGCGGACGAGCCGATCGCGGACTTCGTGTGATCCTGACTGAGTAGGTCTTTCCCCAAGTTATCCCCCGCGATTCCTGCGCGAGCGGCGCAGGGAATTGTAGGTCCGCGCAGATTACACACTCATCATCTCGCGAGTGATCCCCCGATGTGATTGGGGCACCACCGGCAGGAGAAGGAACTCACGCCGGCGACAAGTTGCACTCATTCGAGTACGGAGACTCGTGATGCCTGATCTGTTTTCACTCGCTCGCACCAATCGTCTGAACACCGCATTCAAGCGTGAGCCGCTGACTCAAGCACCTCCCGCAGCGTTGACTCGCGAGCAGACAGTGGACGAGATCATCTCCGTCAATCCATCCGCGACCGCTGAGTTCTTGGCGCAGTTCGATGACGAACTGCTCAACAAGTACCTCGATCACCTGCGATTTACACAGCAACCACGCTGTAAAGCCGCGTGGGATCGCCCCAACGACGCTCCAGCGATCATGGTGCGCCGACGCGTGGTCTGAGCGAATCTGAAGAAACCTCTATTCTGAGCACCGGCGGGCCTGTGGTGGGGCTCGCCGGGCTTTTTTTGTCTGGATCTCGCTTCAAGTCTGATCAACAACTCGTCCGATAAAGGCAGTTATCGGGCACCTGCTCAGATGGTGACCTGATCTCTATGCGATCCACGGAGGGATCCACAGCACAGCGGATCGAGCCGGGCGGAGCCCGTCGACCCAGATTAAGCACATCAGCACCTGCATAGCAGGAAGTGAACGGAGTTGACTCCATGCGCGACACACAGACCACCACACTCATCCGCCCCGTCCTCCTGACTGCACTCGCCGGGACCATGCTCACCCTCCCAGCGTGCGCCAAGCGTGTTGGGTTCTGGGATCGCACCAAGCAACATCAGACTGAGCAGGAAATGGCTCAGACCCAGAGCACACGCTCCACGGCATACTTCACTCCTGAGCATGTCGAGTCTGGATCCAATGTCCAGAATACGGCGCAGTCAGCGAACACCAATGTTGAGCCAAAGGTCAAACCAATCGCTCAGTCCGCTCCACCGCTGGAGTCCGGTAGCTTCGCCGCCAACTCATCCGCTTCGATCTCGACCAGCTCATCTCCTGACGAGTTTGTCAACAACGGACCGGTCACCAGTGCGGCTCCAGATCCGTACGCTCCGATCCCGAAGCCTGAAGCAAACTCCGTACAAGGCGGTGACCTGAGCGCGTGGATCTACTCCAACGCGATGGGGATCGAACTCCCAACTGAATCTTCAACTCCAGCGACTCGCGCGACGGTCAATGTTCGCAAGATCACCGACGCGTACGCCGGTTCGGACTTTGATCCGATCGTCACTCCTGATGGACGCAACCTAATCTACGCGTCCACCCAGCACCGCTCCACTGCTGATATCTACACCAAGTCCATCAATGGGGCTGTGGTGACTCGACTGACTGATGATCCTGCTCAGGATGTCATGCCTTCGATCTCTCCCGATGGATCCACCATCGCGTTTGCGACCGATCGCAACGGATCGTGGGACATCTTCCTGATGCCTGCTGAAGGCGGCAACAAGATCCAGATCACCAACGAGTCCGCTCATGACCTCCATCCGACCTGGTCCCCTGACGGCACCAAGCTCGCGTTCTGCCGACTCGGTCAGCAGACCGGACGCTGGGAGATCTGGGTGACCGATGTCGCTTCGGACCATGGCGCCCAGTTCATCGGATTCGGACTCTTCCCAGAGTGGTCACCTGTCGCCGGGACTGGCATCGACGGCGGGGACAAGATCCTCTTCCAACGCTCGCGTGAACGCGGAGATCGTGCGTTCAGCATCTGGACCATCGATTACCAACCAAATCCCGGCACGGCTAGTCGCGAGACCGAGATCGCATCAGGCGCGGATCAAGCACTCATCAATCCGACCTGGTCACCTGACGGTCAGTTTGTCTGCTTCGCGGCTGTGCCGTATTCGCAATCATGGGTCAACTCGACCACTGCTCGCCCGGATATGTCCACAATCTGGATGGTTTCGGTCAACGGCACCAACAAGGTCAAGCTCACTGACGGCACCTCAGTTGACCTGATGCCTGCTTGGGGACGCGACAACCAGATCTTCTTCGTCTCAAATATGGATGGCCAAGACCATCTTTGGTCGATGGAACTGTCTCCGGCAGTGCGTGCCGCGAGTTTGCGGAATCCAGAGTTTGAATCGACCTTCGCCAATGTCCCGACGGACACCCCAGCGGCAGGCGAGTAAATAGATATCCACCCACCCGGCGGATGCATCGAAAGGTGCATTCCCGCCGTTTCCCGCGAATGCTGAGGAATCGAACCCGATCAGCTTCGCACCAAGTGATGGAGGCGCATGGAGGCGCGTCCGAGATTCGGCAGGGACGCCATGACAAGTGCACAGACTATGTTTGCTCTTCTGCTCTCTTGCATCATTTTGGGATGTTCGGGATGCAACAGCACGGACAAACGCGATCGCTTCAATGTCCCAGGCGTCATTGTCGCGCCGTACGACACAACCCAAGGCGAAGTGCTCTGGGCAGTCATCCCGCCGATTAACGAATCGGGTGTGTCCAGTGTCCGCGAGGACATTGTGGGTGACACCATCGTCGCGGCTGTCCAAGGAATCCGAGGGGTCCGATGCCTTCCCATCAATCGCACGCTTGAAGTGATGCGTCAGACTGGGATCCATCAGATCACCTCAAGCAGCGAAGCGATCTCGCTCGCGAACGCTCTCGGAGTCGACGGGATCATCGCTGGATCAATCACGGCGTACGACCCCTATGACCCTCCAGTCCTGGGACTTGCGCTCGCGTTGTACTCTCGTCCAGGCGCGATGCAACGAGGATCACAGACGGATCTCGATACACGCGCTCTGACAATGGCATACACCGATTTTGGGAGCTTTGATGGCTCTCGATTCTCAGGAGATCCGGTCAACAGCGTTTCGCAGCATCTCGATGCTCGTGACCACGCCGTGCTGATGGATCTCAAGCGATACGCAGAAGGACGATCAGACTCGACCAGTGCTCTTCGCTGGCGCGTCTACACGGCAAGCATGGATCTGTACACGCAGTATGTTGCCCACCACACGGTTGGGAGACTGATCGACGAGGAATGGCTGAGGTACGCCAGGACTCGTTAGTCTGCCCTCCTTCGGTGAGCACGCTCGGCTTGGTCCGGGTGCATCGAGGGAATGAGCATGACTGAGAAGAACAGAACACCCGATAACTCCGCACCATCGCGAACCCAATCGACCCAGAGCGCTGGTGCGGAGATGGTTTGCGTGACGCTTCAGCGTCCGCCGCACTTCTGGCGCTTCGCATGCGCTGCGGGTGATTCGCGTGAAATCCTCGAATCGCTCGCGGATCTCGCGGATAACGAGCACTCTCCATTGAGCTGGGATGATGCGGAGCTGATCGCATCGCAAATTGTTCTTCATCATGGAGGTGATCGGACTCAAGCCGACCCTGAACACGCCCGATAGCACACTTACGAATCAAGATTTCCTGCCCGAGACACTGACCTCTGCGTCCATATATGTTTGGAGACTCACGGATGACCACGCTCCCCATCACCGACAGCTTCGCTAGCTACCTGACTGACGAACGACACTTCAGCCCGTACACCGCTCGTTGCTATGGTGCTGACCTTCGTCAGTTCATCGAATACCTCGTTGATGAGGCCGGCACTGAGATCAACCAGAGCAACGAAGAACTCGCGTTCAAAGCACGCACAGACTCCAGCGCCTTGCAGATGGTCAAGGGATCAACGCTTACACAGACGATATGTGAAGCGGATGCGGACCTCATCCGAGCATACCTCGGATTCCTCGGCGAGCAGAACTACTCCCCAGCAACCATGGCACGCAAGATTGCAACCCTCCGCTCGTTCTACAAGTGGGCGCATAGAAATGGATTCTCTGTCAATAATCCAATGACGCTCATCCGTACTCCTCGTCAGTCCAAGCGTCTCCCCAAAGCGATCAGCGTCGAGCAGGTCGAGCGTTTGCTTTCGGCACCGAATGATCATGATGTGCTCGGACGACGCGATCGTGCAATGCTTGAAACACTCTACTCCACTGGTATCCGCGTCTCGGAACTCGTCGGAATCAACTACGACGATCTGGATATCGAGAATGAAGCGATGCATGTGCGTGGGAAGGGGCGTAAGGAACGCATCGTTCCTCTCGGATCACACGCGATTCGTGCGATCGCACGATACATCGAGTTGCTCTCGAGCGATCCGAAGTTTGGTCCGATCTGGGCGAATCGCGCCAACGGCGACAATCCGCTCCCACTCTTCCTCAACAAGCACGGCAAGGGGCTCTCCTCACGCTCCGTCCGCCGTAAGCTCGACAAGTACCTCCGCATGGTTGGTCTTGATTCGACCATCTCGCCGCACACACTGCGTCACTCCTTCGCAACCCACCTGCTTGAGAATGGCGCGGATCTCCGCTCAGTCCAAGAGCTCTTGGGACACCAGTCGCTCTCGACGACACAGGTGTACACGCACTTGTCCACAAACCGCGTCGAGGATGTCTACAACCAGAGCCATCCACGCGCTGAAGCGAGCTGAAGAGAACATCACTCTGATTGATTACGACGCCCCGTCGAGTGCTTCGAGCATCTGACGGGGTGTTTTGTTTTGGTTGGGGATGTTGATATCCGGCGCGATCTCTGTGAGAGGGACAAGCACGAATGCTCGTTCATGCATGCGTGTATGCGGGATCTGCAGACCCGGCTCATCGATGACCTGATCGCCGAACACGATCAAATCCAAATCCAATGTCCGAGGCCCCCACCGTTGTTCGTTCGAACGATCTCTGCCGTGCTCGGATTCGATGCGGAGCATCTCGTCAAGTAAAGATCGAGCATCGAGTTGGGTCTGGACATGCACGATGCCATTCAGATATGGACCTTGCTCAATGTCTCCGAAAGGAGGCGTCTCGATGATCGAGGAGACCTTGATGATCTTGGTTGTCGCGAGACGCTCGATCGCGGCGATGGCGCTGTCGATCGTTGCTTGACGATCTCCAAGGTTTGATCCCAACGCGATGTACGCATCGATGTGCATATATCACTGAATACCTCATCTCTCGCCGAGTCCAGTCGGGGCACAAATAAGCCCGTCAAACAAACGGGCTAGGGGAGAGAGCAGTGGTGTATGTGTCTTTACCGCATCGGTTCGAGTTCACGCATGCGATGCTGCATCTGAGCTTTGAGGCGTGCGAGGATCGAGGAGTGCATCTGCGAGACGCGGGACTCCGAGAGATCGAGCGTGGTGCCGATCTCTTTCATGGTCATCCCTTCGTAGTAATACAGGATGACGATGAGACGCTCAGCTCGCGTGAGCCCCTTGGTCATGAGGTCTTTGAGGTCGTTTCGCTGGATGACCTTGACCGGAGCGACCTGGGTGTTGTCCTTGATGACATCGATCTCGCGGAGTTCGCGGGATCCATCGGACTGGAAGCACTTGCGAGTGATCGATGAGACGGAGACGGCACTGGAGTCACGCTTGTACTTCGCGAACTCGTCTTTGTCGATCTCGAGTTTGTCAGCAATTTCTTGGTCAGTCGCTTTGCGTCCGATCGCCATCTCGATTTTCTGACGAGCGCCCTCAACTTTGGAGGTGCGGTGACGCACGAGACGCGGGACCCAGTCCATCGAGCGGAGTTCATCAAGGATCGCGCCGCGGATGCGAGGGGCGCAGTAGGTCTCGAATTTTACGCCGCGTCCAAGGTCAAACGCGGAAATCGCATCCATGAGTCCGAAGAGTCCGGCACTCATGAGGTCTTCGATATCTACTTCATCTGGGAGCCGTTGGTAGATCCGCTCGGCGTTGTAACGCACGAGGTGGAGGTACTTCTCGACGAGGAAGTTGCGGAGATCTTCCGTGTAATCTTCCTTGTACATGACCCAGATGTCTGCCATTTCCATTTCGTCGAATCGCGTAGCGATCCCGGATGGCTCTGCATGGCGAGCGCTGGCTCGTGAAGACATTCGTGCTCTTGAACGGATGGCCGTCATCGGTCGACTCCTTGACCCTTGACCTGAATTAGCACCCCTGAGGCAGGTCCGGATATCCTCGTCCGAGAGTCCTGTCTAACCAAAGGCGTTGAACAAACTGAGGGCGGTCCTTGCCCTGCTTCGTAGTATATCAATTTACAACGCGCGCTGTGGTAGCGATTCATGAGTTTTTTCTGGAGATTATCTTCGAGCGCGTATCGTGTGCACATCACGCGGCTCGCTTCATCTTGTCGCGGAGTTGTCGATCGTCCTCGCGAGCTTTGTACAGACGCTTGAGTTCATCAGGGAGTTCGGGCATTGGACGATCGGCTTTGTATTTAGTCAGGAACTCACGCACGCAGATCTCGCCGACGGTGCCCAAAATCCGCCCTACGACGGCGCAAATGAGCATTGCGAGGATCGCTCGGGGAACAATGACGAGACCTGGGTTGCCAGCGAAGAGACCTACGAGCAGTGCCGTGAAGAATCCCATGCATCCCAACACGGTCGAGATGACACGAGCCGGGACATCAGGCTTGATATCTCCCGACTCAAACTCCTGATTCTCAACGATTTCCACATCACTCATCGAAATCTCCAATCCACAGCACATCCACATCTGGATCACAAACGAATCAGCGCATGCGCAAGAGATGCGCACTCTGAGCTGTACTTCTCAATCACGCAAATACAGCGCCGAACAGTTGCACAATGGACATCGGCTGTATGGAGTAGTTGATTTATCGCCGTGCGAAGAAGCGTTGCTTTGAAGCCGCGGCCATGGCGCGGCCTTCGATCCCGGCCCACTCTGTCAGCGCCGCCGCGAGCTTGGTCATGTCTTTGCCCGCAGGACTCTTCGGGGTCTCGATCATATACGGCGATCGAGCTTTGACCGCTTTGACCACACGCTTATCAGATCGGACATAGCCGAGCATCGGGATCTGGTATCCAAGGAAGCGATCGCAGACTCCTGCCATCCGGTTGTACACCTGATTCGCTTCTTTCTCGTTCGATGCTTGATTGACGATTAAAGCGAGCTTGGGAGGTGTGTAGCTCGAACGATCTGCATCCGATTGATCTGTTCCCATGATGAGCACTTTGATCAGTGCGTAAGCATCAGCGACACTTGTGGGTTCTGGAGTAACAACAATCAATCCCAGATCCGCGGCTTGGACAAAGGTGGTGACCGAATCACCCAATCCCGCGCTTGTATCAATTAGCACCACATCGTTCCCGGCTTGGAGATCCTCAAGACGATGCAACAGTGTGGCGCGTTCATGCTGATCGAGCTCTCCCACTCGTCCGATCCCGACTGATCCCGGGATCAAACGAAATCCTCCTGGAGCGTCGATCGCAAGGTCTTCGAGCGAAGGGGTTTCATCGGAATCGATCGCTGACTCGAGACGAGCTTTGGGCATCAAGCCGCAGAGCACATCTGCGTTTGCGAGTCCAAGATCAGCATCAAGCAAACAGGCGCGCCGATTCTGACGCGCTAGTGCGATGGAGAGGTTCACTGAGGTTGTGGTCTTTCCGACCCCACCTTTGCCGGACGCGATCGCGATGACTGGGATGCGTCGTTGCGGCGGAACCATGCTGTTCTGGTTGTTGGATTTGGTTTCCCCAACACAGTCTTCCCGCTCGAAGCGAGAGACCAACTGACGCAGGCGAGACGCTTGATCATCCTGAGCGGATGCATCACCACCTGTATTGGGGTTTGTCGCCGAAACAATCTGGCTCATTCATCAACCTCGTATCAATAGTGCGTCACTTAGACGCTTGGTCTCTCTTAGGGATAATCCCTATATCCTAGTCACTCAGATTTGAGGAACCACAGCTTCAGGTCCATCGAGCACAGCACGCGCGAGACGCTCGGCTCTCGCGGGCAGGATGTCGTCCGGAACCTCTTGTCCCACAGTGACAAAGCTCAAAGGCAGTCCGCCGATCCGTTCGCTCATTCCCGCAATCATCCCGGTCGTGACGGCTTCATCAATCTTGGTCAGGATGCAACGATCCGGTCCCAAGTCGATGAATCGCTCTGCTGTTTTGCGGAGCACATTCTCGCCGACAGTGGACGAAAGCACGAGGTGCGTCTCATCAGGCTGAGCCGCGGCGATGAGTTGTCCGAGTTCATCGAGTCGAGCGTGGTTGTTCTGTGATCGTCCTGCTGTGTCGATCACGATCAGATCCACATCGGAGAGACCCTCGATGACTGATCGCATCTCGTCAGGTGAGTTTGCGATTTTAATTTCGAGTCCGATGATGGAGGCGTATGTTTTGAGTTGCTCGACGGCAGCGATGCGATAGGTGTCGGAGGTGATGAGCGCAACGCGCTTGCCGTGTCGGAGCTTGGCGCTCGCGGCGAGCTTCGCGACTGTGGTGGTTTTCCCAACCCCTGTTGGCCCAATCAGCGCGATTACCTTGGGTCGAGTGGTCGATGAAGCCGGTTTCTGTGTAAGGAGCGATTGCGAAGTGGTCTTGATGGACGACTCGATCTCTCTCAGCAGTGCGTGACGCACGACGGAATCGTCGCGAAGTTCATCCAAATCGAGACGATCTCGCACAGCACCAACGAACTGATCTGCAAGATCAACGGAGACATCGTTATCGATCATTTGCGTGTAGTGCCTATGGAGTGGCTCGGACATCTCGACCGGAGGGAGCACGCCGTCATTCTTGTTCACCGCGACGGCTGTCCTGCGCGTCGTGTCCAAGACCTGACCCATCATCTTCTGGAGCGATTCGATCTGCGCTTGCAGAGCAGCGGTTTCAGCATTCTTTGAGGATGACTCCTGCTGCAGTTCTTGCTCTTGTTCATCGAGGACAGGTGTTTCAGATTGGACCTCGTCTACTGATTGATCACTTGATAGTTTGGCGGGAATCGCGTTTTCGAAGACCGATTCATTGTCGATGGGGATTACGCTTTCTTCAGTCGGATCAAACGCTTCCGCTTCAGGCGTTTCCAAGTCTGTTGCCGAGTTCACACTGTCGATGTGTTCGGGCTCCGGTTCACTCTCGGCAATCTGCGTCGATTCGAAGGTGTCTACACGCGCGAAACTGGTTGGGGTAAACTCACTCTGCGATGATGATTGAGGCTCATGCGATGCCGGAGTGTTTTCGTTGACTTCTGCTTCCTCTTGACGCTGCTCTGACTCGATGCGGCGGTCTCGGATCGGAGATGGCGCGTTCCCCATGAGTCCTTGCAAGAGCATCGCACGATCATCGACATGCTCGTCTGCTTTTGGTTGGGTCGATTCAACCGCTTGGGGCTGAGCAACGCGTGAACGCTGCACAACGATCTCTGGAACCGGTTCCTCCGATGTCTCGTGCACGGGAGTTGTTTGCTTCGATGGTTCAGCTTTCGTCGAGCGTTTCACTCGACGCGACTTGCGTGAACTCGATGGTTGTGGAGAAGATGCGGTGATCTCGACCATCGGCTTGCCACCCAACCCCAACCACGAACCAGTCCGGTACGAGCGGGTGTGGAGAATCATTGCGTCGCTCCCGAGATCCTTGCGGACCTGTGCGAGCGCTTGAGCCATGGTGGGTGCGGTGTATGTCTTAAGTTTCATATTCAGCCGTCCTGGCATGTGCCCTATGAATGAGCAAGGTACAAATGGCGGAGTTCAATCGTAATGTACCGCTCTATCAGGACTTTGACCACTTATCGACAGGTTGTCCACATCGAATCGCTTATGCAACACCCGCCGGGGTTTGCTGCCGGCTTGGCGCGTTGGCGGATTCCCCGATCGGTCCGATGAGTCCAACGGATTCGACCTCGATGCCGCTGACCACCTCGTTGTATCCCAAAACGGCGACTCCCGGAATGTGGGGTTCGAGGATCTGCCACATCGCGTTGCGGACTTGAGGGGAGGCGATCACGACTGGGAGCCGACCTCGCGCCATCACGGCTCCGAGTTCCTCGCTCACAGCATTCGCTATGTCTCGCGCCACTCGCGCCGGGATGTTGAGCACTGTTCCCGCGGCTCCGCGATCTATGTACGCGTTGACCTGATCTTCAAGGCGCGGATCCAGTGTGACGCTCACGAGCGAGAGTTTGCCCTCGTCATTGGTCTCTGCATACAGCGAACAGATCGTCCGGCGAAGCGCGTTGCGAGCGTACTCGACAAGCACATCGAGGTCCTTGGTCTTGGTTCCCCAGTCCGCGAGTGTTTCGAGGATGGTTTCGATATCACGGATCGGGACACGCTCGCGCAAGAGTGATTGGAGCACCTTCTGGAGTTCTCCAACTTTGATGATTGCTGGGACGGCTTCCTCGACCAGTTTCGCGGCCTTCTCTTTGAGTCCCTCGAGCAGGTTGTTGACTTCTTCGCGAGTGAGCAGTTCGTCGGCGTAGGTCTTGACAAGCTCGGTGATGTGTGTCGCGAGCACGCTTGTCGGATCAACGACGGTGTAGTTCATGCTTTCAGCACGGCTGCGGATGCCGGGATCGATCCACCACGCATCGAGACCAAATGCTGGTTCGACAGTGTGCACGCCTTCGATCTTGCCTGTCGTGAGTCCCGAATCCATCGCGAGCAGTCGTCCCGGATCCGCTTGTCCTGACGCGACCATGTTGCCGCGGATTTTGACGCGGTACTCGTGTGGAGGGAGCTGCATGTTGTCGCGGATGCGCACAGGCGGCATCACGAGTCCGAGTTCCACGGCGAGCTGACGGCGCACGGCGCTGATGCGATCGAGAAGATCTCCGCCTTGGTGTGTGTCGATGAGCGGGACCAAGCCGTATCCGACTTCGAGTTCAAGCACATCGACCTTGAGGAGGTCTTCGACTTGAGGTGGTTCGGGCGCCGTTTGCTGAGCGGCGTCCGCTTCTGCTTCTTGACGCTGGATGGCCTGCTTATCGTGTGCGAGGCGTCCGAGGGTCCAAGAAAGTAGCCCTAAACCTATTGCGATGGTGAGCAAAGGCATCGTCGGGAGTGGTGAGAACGCGAGTACGGCGAGGAAGCACGCGGTGATCGTGAGCCCCTTGGGCTGGGACACGAGCTGTCCGGTGATCTCTGTTCCGAGGTTGCCTTTGTCTCCCGATCGCGTGACGATGAGCGCGGCGGCCATGGAGATGATGAACGATGGGATCTGGCTGGTCAGACCATCACCGATGGTCAGCTTGGTGAAGATCTCGGCGGTCTGTCCCGCGGGCCATCCTTTATCAATCGTTCCGACAGCGAAACCACCCGCGATGTTGATCAGGGTGATGATGATGCCCGCGATCGCGTCGCCTTTGACGAACTTGGACGCACCGTCCATCGCGCCGTAGAAGTCCGCTTCGCGTCCGATCTCGTCGCGGCGGGTGCGTGCTTGTGCCTCGGTGATCATCCCGTTGGAGAGCTCGGCGTCGATCGCCATCTGCTTGCCGGGCATCGCGTCGAGGGTGAATCGCGCCGCGACTTCCGCGATGCGTCCAGCACCTTTGGTGATGACCATGAACTGCACGATCATCAGGATCGCGAAGATGATCACACCGACGAAGAGCGAGTCTCCCGCAACGAACACGCCGAACGCGGAGATGACCTTTCCCGCAACCCCGATCGCTTCTTGGGGAGTCGATGCGTCCGCGGTGAGGATCAGGCGCGTCGATGCGATGTTGAGCACCAATCGCAGCAGCGTGGTCGCGAGCAGGAGCGACGGGAAGACAGAAAACTCGAGCGCCTTCTGCATGTAGAGCGTGGTGAGCAGGATGATAACGGCGAGCGAGATATTGAATGCGATGAGGATGTCTAACGCCGCGGGTGGGAGCGGGAGCAGGATGACGGACAACAGCATGACGAACCCGATGGGCACGATCAGACCTCGGTAATCGCTGATGCGATTGACCCAAGAGGGGAGGACTGTGCTGGAGCGTTGTTCGGCCATGCGTGTTTAGTGGTGTTCCTTATTCTGTGAGTGCGGGCTCAAGGTTCGGGTTCAGTTGTTTAAGTTCGCTTTGTGCCTTTCCTTCCATTCTGTAGACATACGCGAGCAGCTCAGCGACCGCTTCGTAGTGTTCAGGGTTGATCTCCTGACCAACCTTGATCCCCCAGTACAACGCTCGCGCCAGCGGCGGGCGCTCGACGATCGGAACTTCGTTCTGGCGAGCGATCTGACGGATCCGCAGCGCGATCAGGTCCGCACCCTTTGCGGTGACCTTCGGAGCGGTCATTCCTTCTGAGTCATATTTGATCGCGACGGAGAAGTGAGTCGGGTTGGTGACGATGACATCCGCTTGAGGGACCTGATGCGAAATCTGCTGCATGACGATCTCGCGCGCCATCTGCATGCGTTTGCCTTTGAGTTGAGGATCGCCTTCCATCGTTCGGCGTTCGTCCTTGACCTGCTGCTTCGTCATCTTGTTTTCTTGTGTGTGCTGCCAACGCTGGAAGATGTAGTCGATGACGGCGAGCATGAGCAAGATCACGATGAGGGTGAATGCGATGATCAGGATCATCCGCAGGATCGCCGCGGTTGCCATGATTGCAGGGAGTTTCGGGAGCACGGCGATCGTTTCGATCTGCGAGCGGATCACCAAGATCGAGACAAGAATCAGCAATCCGAGCTTGAGCGTGTTGATGATCGCTTTGACGAGCCCTTTGCGTCCATAGATTCTCTTGATCCCGCCGAGCGGTGAGAGTTTATTGAGCTTGGGCGTGATCGGATCGCCGCTGATGAGCCAACCGACTTGCATGAACTGGGACGCGTACGCGATGACCATAACGATCAGCAGCACTGGGAGCATGACGCGTCCGATCTCGTAGATCATGAGGGAGCCGTCGGATCGGATGGATGAGACGGATAGTGGTCCGGCGCTCGACTCTGCGGCAAGCATCTTGCGGAGCACACGCTCGAACATTTCCGCAATCATCGGCGCCAGAGCAATCAGCGCGACGACACTCCCGAGCATCAGCACGGCGCCGGAGAGGTCTTGACTCTTAGGAACCTGCCCCTTCTCGCGCGCGCTCTGGAGCTTCTTTGGGGTTGGTGCTTCGGTGCGTTCGCCGAGATCGTCCATTACGAACCCCCTCCCGCTGCGGCACGAGCGTGCGCGGATTCGGTCGCGAGACTTTGGATCCAGAGCGACAGGCTATCAAGCACACGATCGATCTCTTCTCCGGCAACCATCCCGATGACATTGACCATGAGCATGAGGAGGATCAACCCTGTAAGAATCTGGATTGCGAATCCGATGCTCATGATGTTGACCTGAGGCATTGTTTTCATGACAAGCCCCATCGCGACCTGTGACATCGAGACCGCCGCGATGACCGGCGTTGCGACACGGATCGCGAGTTCGAATCCCGATGTGACCACTTGGACCAGCATGTCCAGAGGCACATCGCCGGCGGTGAACAATCCGATCGGCGCGGTGTGGAAGGACTCAGCGAGCGCGAGGAAGAGGAGCTCGAATCCACCCAATCCAATGAACGCGAAGATCGTGAGGTAGAACAGGAGCATGCCAAGGACCGAGCCGTTGGAGTCCAGTTCTGGGTTGAAGGATTCGGCGAGCGAGAGACCGACCTGGTATCCCATGATGAACCCGCCCATCTGCATCGCGTAGAGAGGCATCGCGGCGATCAGTCCGATGGAGATCCCGATGAGCAGCTCAGCAAACAGCAACGGCACAAGCTGAACGGTGTCAATGCTGGCGCCTGGATCAAACGATGGCACCGCGGGGTAGATCGCGACAGCGAACATGAACGCGAACATTGCTTTGAATACTGTGGGTACAGTCGCGGATTGCAGCAATGGTGTAAACAAAAACAATCCCGTGAGTCGGGCGACCACCAGCATCAGTGGCAGCACATGGACCAGCATGGGCTCGAAACTCACCATCAGAACAGCTTCATCATCTCTGTTGTGAACTCACTGAGCACAGTGATGATCCAAGGCAATAACAACACCGCCGCGACAACGAGCGCGATGATCTTGGGAACAAAGGTCAGCGTTTGATCCTGGATGGAGGTGACGGACTGGATCAGCGAGATCACCAAACCCAGGATCATCCCGATCAAGAGCAGCGGGGTTGCGATCAACAGCACGATATATAACGCGTCACGGATCATCTGCAGCGCGGCTTCGTCAATCATCCTGCCCCCCTTCGTATTCGACGCTGACTCTCGGGGGCGCATTGCTCTGCTTCACGATGCGCGCGAGCATGAAGATTGGGATAGTTGCAGCAGCGGTCGCGCTGAGTCTACCGCTCGTGCCTTCTTGCACGAAGCTCTCGAGAAGTGAGCCGACGACTAAGGTCCATCCATCGACGAGCACAAACAGCATCAGCTTGAACGGCAGCGAAATTAGAACCGGAGGGAGCATCATCATGCTCATCGAGATCAGCAGCGACGCGATGACCATGTCGATCACAAGGAACGGCAGGTACACACGGAACCCCATCAAGAACGAGACCTTGAGCTCGCTGAGCATGTACGCCGGGATGAGGGTCGTTGTCGAGATGTCTGCTCGTGTCATGGATTCGGGTTCGGAAGTGTCCACGCCTTGGTAGTTGAGGATCATGTAGAGCGATGACCAGTTGTCGGTCGCTTCGATCTGATCGAACATGAAGTCACGCATCGGGGTCGAGGCGCGTTCCCAGAGGACATCCATGTTGCGGATCTCGCCGTTCTGATACGGGACGACGGCTTCGCTCCAGACTCGATCGATGGTCGGTTTCATCACGAGCGCGGTCATAAAGAGTGCGAGTCCGGTGATGACCTGACCCGGCGGGAGCGACTGTGTGCCCATCGCTTGACGCAGCAGCGCGAGGACCACCATGATGCGGATGAAGCTGGTCGTCATCAGCATAATGGACGGGACCAGAGCGATCACCGTCAGCAGCAGCATGATGTTGAGTGTCACGGACAATCCGGACTGCTCTGCGCCACTGCTCGGAGCGATAGTACCCTGCACCCGCGAGCCGATCCCGCTCGCGGCGTTGATCGCGGTCCCCGCATCTTCGAGGACCATCAGCGGATTGAACGCGTCGCTGGAGGATTCGCTCGGAGCGGGACCAAGCTGAGCGAACAAGGTGTTTGCCAATAGCCCGAAGCACAAAGCGATCAGGATGGAACGGAGACGACCCACGAGTTCAACGCCCCCTCCGCATCGCGCCGAGTCTTCGGCGGAGGATTTGAGAAGCCGCGGCATTGTCTTGCGCGGAGGTCAGTTCGAGACGATCACCCTCGTCGTTGCTCACAAATCCTGGAGCGATCCGGCGAGGACGCTGCACATGCATGCCCGGCGAAGGCTGATACATCGCTTGCTGGATTTCTTGATCCGTCGCGTTCCCGGCTTCTTGGAGCGTCCGCTCGAACGATGCGGAGATTGAATCGCCTTCCGCATCGCGGACTTTCCCCAAAATGGATGCGACCTCTTCGGGAGTGTTGATCTCGCAGAGTGTGTGCATCTCCCCAACACCCCCACCACGCTTTCCTCGACGAGAGCTCGCGTGTGAGAGCAGGAGCACCTTGCGATCGAAGCGGAGCACGACGATCGTCATGCCGCTGGAGATGGGATAGCGCGCGAGGACCTCGACGAGCCCTGCCGGTGCTCGACCTCCGGCGCCCATCTGACCGCTGAGTCCGCCTTTGGTGCGTGCGATTCTTTTGTAGAGCTGCGCGAGCGCGAAGATCAGCAAGAGCACCCCTGCGAGCGCGGCAATCGTGCGGAGAAACTCCTTTCCGAGCACGGCGGGTGTCGTGACATCATCCCCACCAATCGGCATGCTCTCTTGCGGACGAGGGAGTCCGAGCGGTTTCGCCGATGATGATTCCGGGTTAATCTGAGTCTCGGTTTGCGCTGCGATCTCAGCAGTTGACTGTTTGTTTGATTGCGATGGCATCTGCTCGATCAGATCAATGATCGGCTCAGGTGCATACTCGACCAATGGGCCATGCTGTGCAAACGCATGTGCAGAGATGCAGAGTGTGATGATTGTGGTGCACATTCGCACCTTGAGAGTCCCGATCATGTCGCCATCCTGGCCTTTCACAAGAGCGGATCCTCCGCTCGTTCTCGTCATCACTCAGCGTTTAGCTTTCCTGCAGATCCAGGATCTCGTTGATACGCACACAGAAGTTGTCGTTCAGGACGAGCACCTCGCCTCGAGCGACTTTGCGATCGTTGACGAAGACATCGACTGGATCTCCCGCAAGTTTGTCCAGCTCCACGACAGCGCCATCTCCTAAACGCAGCACATCTTCGACGAACATTCGTGTACGACCCAGTTCGATGCGGACATTCATATGGACATCGGAGAGCAGATCGAGATCGCTCTTGGGACCTGAGTTACCCGAGTCTTCAAGAACTGGAGATTCGAAGGGACTGCCACTCCCGGCGGAGTCTCCTCCAGCGGCGCTGCTGACATCGCTGATCGCTGACATTGCAGCCGCGAGAGCTGCGGCTTCATCGTCGCTCATATCGGCGCCTTCGTCGGCTTGTGCCGCGACATCGTCTGCAATTGCAGATGCGTCATCCAATGCTTCCTCAGCATTGGGTTCTTGAGCATCATCTGCATCGTTCTGGGGCTCTAGATTCTCTGCTTCTTCGGACATCGTGGATTCCTTGGACTCCGCCATCGACACAACGCGCACGCCGACTCCCGGCGCATACAAACTTATCGGCCTATCTTGCCGATCGGGTCCAGTCTTTGCGCCAATGCGCAGATATTGCTTACCTGAAGCAGCAGTTGTCGAATCCTGAGATCACGCGTCGGCGCGGAAACCCTTGCACTCAGGGATGATGACGCGATCAACGCGTGGCATGCCGTCAGCGTCTAACCCGAAGACCTCGTTGATGTATGTCGTCAGCTGTCGCGTGATCGTCTCCAGTCCAGGCTCGCGGAGATGGCGATCCTGTGCTCGACGGAAGATCAGTGCGATCCCCTCGGTCAGCAGAGCGGTATCGCGTTCTTTGATGGTCTCGATGTGTGCCTGATTCTTCTGACGAGCACGCAGGACGATCTGGACGCGCCATTCCCAGACATGCCCGGTGGACATGTTCTGGAATCGGTCCTCAACAAGCGGGATCTCGACAGGCGCATCTTCTCCGGTGCCTTCGAGTTCCGCGAGCTCCGTTGCATCCGCGCCCTTTGGTCCACCCATAGATGAAACGAGGAAGAACACCGCCGCTCCTTCGACGATCATGATCACTGCGATGATGATGAGGAGTTTCATCCCCCCACCCTTGCTGGATCCGGACTCTTCGGTGCTTTCTGCTTTGTTTTCTTCGTCGGCCATTGGTGTTCCTTCCGGGACGCTGGATTAGTTGTCCGCACCGGTGAAGTTTGGATCTGGATGCGTCTGCGAGACCGTGCGCCCAGTCTGATAGACCTGAACTCGGCGGTTCGAGCCGCTCGCTCCTCCGGAATTGGCGCTCAGAGACATAGGCTCAGCATTCCCAGCTGATTCGACCCTCAGAATCGATGCATCCACACCACATTCCCGGACCAAGAAATCCTTCACCACTTGAGCACGGCGATATCCCAACTCGTCAAATCCGAGTCCTGAACGCTTTTCTTCGAGTCCCCACGAATGCCCTACAACCGGACAGATGTAGTTGAGTCCTCGAATCTTTGGAGCGACTGAATCTCGCAGCATGTCCTGGTTGCGTTTAGAGAGCTCAAAGCTCCCAACTTCGAACATGATCGAGCCACCGATCGCGTGGCGAGCACCCTCCTGGACGACATTGACCAGTGTCTCCCGACCTTCAATGTTCGGATCGGTATTGTCGTTGGTAGAACGCATATCGCCATCTCGGCGGGCACGCTCTTCTTGATTGGAGACCATCGAGTTGTTGGCGCTCTCGATGAGATGCGCCAATCCCATTCCGCCTTTGAATCCCATCGCTTCGTTGACCGAATCGATGACCTTCTGATACTCGCGTGGTTTCTTCATCTCCGAGAATGAAACCAGCAGCACGAAGAAACAGAGCAGAAGCGACATCAGATCACCAAAGGTGACCACCCACTCCGGGACCTCTGCTTTTGGTGGTTCTTTTTTCTTTCCCATCGCTCGGATCCTCCTGGCGGTTAAGCCGCCTGCTCAGCGAGGAACGCGTCGCGTTCTGCTGGTGGGAGGTAGGTCAAAAGCTTGCTTTCAACAACGCGTGGGTTGTCACCAGACTGGATTGCCATGACACCAGCGATGATGATGGTCTTGAGTTGTGTTTCTTCTTGATCCTTCGAGTAGAGCTTGTCGCCGATCGGACCAGCAAATGCGTTGGCGATGATCGCTCCATAGAGCGTGGTGATCAGCGCGACTGCCATGGATGGACCGATGGTGGAAGGATCTTCCATAGAACCCAGCATGAGGATCAGACCGATGAGGGTCCCGATCATCCCGAATGCCGGTGCATATTTCCCGAACTGATCGAGGACCATTTTACCTTGCATGTGACGATCCATCATCGCTTCGAGTTCGGTTTCCATGATGACACGGATGAGTTCTGGATCAGTGCCGTCGACGGCCATTTTGATCCCGCGAACAATAAACTCATCGCTCATTTCTTCGATGTGGTTCTCGAGGGAGAGGATACCTTCACGGCGAGCGATCTCGGCGTACTTGACGATGTCCTTGATGATCACTGCAGGATCTGCGGTAGTCCCGAAGACTGCTTTCATCACAAGACTTGGAAGACCGAGCGACTTTGCAAGTGGGAACGCGGCAATGACAGCACCGGTTGATCCACCAAACACAACAATCACTGACGGGATGTTGATCATTCCGATGGGATTACCGCCGCCGAGTAAGATCGACAAGAAGCAGCAAATTGCTGCGATCGCGAGCCCGCCTACGGTTGCAATGTCCACTTGTCCGTCCTCCGACAACACCCGTCCGTGGGTGTGCAGAGCCTGTATCGACGCGACCATGAGCGATATTCAGATTGATCGTGGAATTCTGGACCCGCACTAGCGATCGGGTGGGATTATCCGGGTTCAGAGAGCTTGCGGAGATGCCGCCCGTATTCGATGGATCTGCGGACGATCTCGGTCATGGACTCTTTGACGACCATGTGCTCGCCGGAAATAAGCGTGATAATGGTGTCGGGGTTCTCCTCTACGGTCCGGATAAGCTCGGCGTTGAGAATGAACTTCTGTCCGTTGAGTCGTGTGACACAAATCATGACAATCTCCGGAAGCCCGATCCGTTATCGGGCTCGCTTCCCGCTCGCGTACCTGTTGTCATTATCGACCAAGCACCAACAACTGCTGGAGCAACTCATCGGTTGTTCGGATAACACGCGATGACGCGGAGTAACCAGTAGAAGTCAGGATCATTTGCGTGAACTCTTGTCCGAGATCGACATTCGAGCCTTCTAGTGCACCTGCGATCACTGAACCCAATCCGATCTGACCTGGGTTCGCAATCGCGGCGGGTCCTGAGTTCGGTCCAGTTGTGAACAGGTTACCTCCCTGATCCACAAGACCTGCAGGGTTTGAGAACTTCGCGAGTACGACCTGTCCCATAGTTCGGATCGCGCCGTTGGAGAATCGTCCTACAACAGTACCGTCATCTCCAGTCGCGAAGGTTTCGAGAGTTCCTGGAGGAAGGCCGTCGGTCGTCAATCCGATCAGGGTCGATCCTGTGGCTAGTGAAGTGGTTTGTCCGTTCTCAGCGAGGAAGTTGAGGTTGAATGACAACGGCGTGTCCGCGCCTGTGTTCATCCGATCGATGGTGACTTGCACTGAGTTGTTCAGCGGATCGATCTGACCCTCTGTATCAAACTGCAGTGTGCCCGTCGCGACGGAGATATCCAGATCTGTGTCATCACCCGATTCGACGAAGTAGCGCCAGACTGGCCCACTGTTAGGGGTTGAGTCGAGGACCATCACCACATCGACGAGTACTGATGTTCCGAGCGAGTCAAACGCGGAGACAGTGGTCCGCACGCTCTCGCCGTCAGCTTCAGCGACTTGTGTGGTTTCGAACGCGGCGCCAAGGTTTGTGGTGCCGTCGGTATCGATGATCCGCAGATCACCAGTCGAAATTTCAATGTTGTTTTCTGTCCCGACATTGCCCACAATGGTGATCACACCAGTGGTTGGATCAACAGTGACTCCCGGAGTTGACCCGTCGGGGTTCGCGGCACCAGTATCCTGGATCCCGAGTGCGGCTTCAAGGAAGTCCATGAGATCCTGGACTGATGTGGTTGCGGTGACTGAGAGATCCGCTTCAGGGAGTGCTCCGCCTCCCTTGGATGCATCGCTCGTGAGTCTAACGGTTTGTCCTGCACTCAACAACGGCGTGCCGGGATTGTTTGGATCGTCAATGTTGACCAGTGGTGTGGTTGAGTTGATGAATCCACCGCCGAGGACTGTTGGTCCTGAGAGCGATGAACTCATGAGATCGATGATCGATCCTGTGGTTGGAATGTCGCCACTCTTATCGAGATTTCCCACGATGGACACATTGCTGGTTGCTTCTGCAATGGTCTGTCGACCTACGGGTATATTCAGGGGGACGAGCTGTCCGGTGATGAGATTAAAATCATCATCGACACCATATCCCAGCAAGCGTTCACCAGTCGCGGTGGTCAGGTTATCTTCCGTGTCTTGTCTGAATGATCCGGCACGCGTGTAGAAAGTTGACCCATTACTCTCGACCATAAAGAACCCCGATCCGTCGATGGCGAGGTCTCGCAGATCTCCGGTCGCGTTGATTGAGCCGTTGTTGAAATCCCTCTGAATCGCTCCGATTCCCACACCGTTGCCAACTTGTCGAGGATTGATCCCGCCGCTGCTTGCTGTTGGCGCTGTCCCGAAGCTGAGGTTTCGCTGAAAGAGCGTCTCGAACATGATCCGCGAGCTCTTGAATGCGGTGGTGTTCACATTCGCGATATTGTTACCGATGATGTCGAGCTTGCGAGAGTGCGTGTTGAGCCCGGTCAGACCGATGAACAATGAACTGGTTGATGCCATGGAGGAACCTCTTTTTCGCCAGGCTGCTACGCTTGGCGCTATCGAATCAGTCGGATCGCGCCGAGAGCACATCCGCGAGGGAAGTGTTTCGCACAACGCGTGCCGGAATGAGTGGATTCACTGGGGTGCTGCTCTCAGCTTGATCTGAAACTTCATCGAGATCAGTTTTCGTACCATGCATGATTACCAAGCCATCGACCTGATCAATCAACAGCTGATTCTCATGCGTCATCTGCGCTTCAATCACGCGGTTCTTGACATCGAGGCGCACAATTGAGGCACCGAGATCAACCGCGACATTGCTGATCCCAGACTTCGATGCGATGTCAGCAGCATGTCCTACTCGATCAAGCTGATCTGATCGGATTTGATCGATCCCGATCCCCTCCCCGAGTTGTACGGCAACACCGCTGGGTTGACCAGTTCGAACACGCTGCAAGATCTCATCGAAGCTCAACTCGTTCGGATTGAGCTTCCGTTGATCCGGAGAGATACCACCCGGGAGGATTCCCGATCCGAGTGCTGCGAGGAGTTGGTTTCCTGACGCATTCATTGCGTCAGATCGCGGGACTCACTGTGGGACGACTTGGATCTACGCTCTGTGAACCAGTCTGACCGCTCGTGGTATTCAACGATCCTGCATCTCCGGCATATGGCGAATCGGTCGGCACATCCGGATCATCATCGGAGTTCCCATCGTCTGTTGGCGGAGTATCGTCATCAGGATTGGTGAAGTCGTCGATCGGTCCAGCGATTTCATCGACCTGGCTAAAGAGCATACGAGTCCCATCGAACAGATTGAGCACAGGTCCTTCAGAGGACTGCGATACAGAAATCACAAGATCTGCAACGCGTTGATTATCAAGCGTGATTCCTGAGACCAGCGAGCCGATGAGCTGCGAAGCCGCGGCGAACTCGTTCTGGGATACCAAGCTCTCAAGCGATGCAACCATCTGCGTATCGGATTCGATAGTCCGGAGTGTCGAGAGCTGGTCGAGCATCGCGCCGGTGTCCTGAGGTTCAAGCGGGTCCTGATTCTGCAACTCTGTGAAGATGATCTGCAAGAACTCGGCGCTGGAGAGCGTGTTGAACGCGTCGCCTGTTGAAGAGACGGGGTTCGATGAAGAGAAATCACTGATGGCGCTCATGATTCATACCTTTCCATTACGCGATTGCATCCAGACCCAGTTCGGTCCAGATACTTTGCGGCGAGTTGTCATCCAAATCAGTTTCAGGAGTCATCGGAGTGCTGCTTTCCTCCCGATGTGCCCCTTGCTGTTGAGTATCTTGTTGCGAGTCCGCAGAATCTCGATCTGTGTCATTGAACATCTGATCGAATGCGGATTGCTGGGATTCGTTGACGCGGATGTCATCAATGCGGATGCCGCGTGATTCCATTGAGTGCTTGAGCCCTTCGAGTCCGTCTTTGAGGATCGATCGAGCGTCTTCGTTTGCGGCATCGATCTTCACTCGGACTTGGCCGTCTTTCGTGTTGAGTTCGATTTTGATGTCACCCAGATGATCGGGATTCAGCCGCATCCGCATCGTGCCGCCTTTGGTGTTCATAATCGACGCGAGTCCACGCTGGACCTGCGCCATCACCTCGCGGCGCATCAGTGGGCGATCATTGATCGCTTTATTCTGCACAATTCTTTGGGCTTCTGCAGATCGTGCTCCCAGATCCAAACCGCTTTGACTGGTGTTGGCTTTGCTCGATGCTTCAGTAGAAGTGATCGTGCGTGCAGCATCTACCCCAACCGAGTTCTGCAGCGTTTGTGTCCGGATCGGTTGTGACGGACGAGCCGAATCCGCGGCGACAACCTGAGTTGCTTGGATCACCTGCGGCGTGTGTGTTTGAGTGACTGCGGGTTGTGATTTGACAGGTTCTTGTGTAGCCAACTGATCCTGATTTACAAGAGCCGAGCTCAGATCAGGATTTCTGTTCGCTTCATGTCCGATCTGAATCGTTGGTGTGGATTGCTTGGTGCTCGCGAATCGATTCTGTGGAGTTGCTGTCGAAGCTGGAGCGTCTTTCTGGACTGGTCGAGCGGCCCCAGCTTTGTTGGGCTCTGGTGCTTGAGAAGCAACCTTCGTTTGTGGTTGACCCTCAAGCTGGAGCTTCGCAAGATCCGCGAGGTCAACGCGTGCTGCATTAGACAGCAGGATACCCAGATCCGCGGCCGTCAGAATCTGCTCGATGCTATTATTCTTCTGCGAATCAAGCGGCTTAGTTATTGACTCGCTCTGCTCGCTCTTCGGATGCGGATTGGACTGATTTGTTGCCTGTCCATCACTCTGAGTTTCTGAGGTTTGTTTACCCTCAATCTGATCTGATTCCTCAGCCGCTCCATCCTCACCATCACCAGCGTCATCCGCAGGCTGAACCTCTTCGGAATTAGCTGATTCTTCGATTAACTCATTTTCGGGTTCTGATTCTGTGAACGATTCAAGCACGCTGCTGAATACAAGCGCAGAATCCGCAGAAGTTGATGCGCCTTGTGCGCGTTGAACCACCAGATCTGCGCTGGTGTTGTTACGGCTCAAGCTGGTTTGCTGTATCGTCATCGGTGCTGGCATCCGTTAGCGAGGTTTCACGACCACGCATCCGTATGGACTCCAGCAAACCCGCTGCCAACTCAGCTTCATCCGCTTTGATGAACTCCGCGAGGACTTCCGTTGTGATGCCACCCCCAAGCGCGCTGAGATACGAGACCACCTGCTCTCTCTTCCCGTCGTCAATCAGGACGCTCAGCATTTCCTTAGCGTCTCTTGGTCTCATGTTTTTGAGCACGGTGAGTGATTTATTGAACTGATCGGATCCCTCGATCTCTTTGAGCCGCTCGCGCATGGCTTCGAATTCTGATCGCTCTTCCTCGAAGTCTGTCCGTTCGCTCGCGAGCAGCGCCCGCTCTCGCTTGAGGGTGTTCTGGAGGTCATTGATCTCGCGTTGCATGCGTTCGAGCCTTGCACGATCGATCTGGGTGAGCTGCAAACGAACATCGTTGAGTTCTTCAGAGTTCATCGCGAGTTTGGGGAGATCATTCTCTTGCTCCGCGAGTTCCGCGGCGGCTTCCAATTCCTCAGATTTGATGCGTTGATCTCGTGCGGTTATGGTCTCACTGAACATGTCGACGACCTCTGTGACACGCTGTGAATCGACCCTGCCGGACGCGAAGACCCAGCCGACACCCAAAAGCACCGCGATCAGGTTCAGAACCGCGACGACGAGGAGGGCTTTGATGAGCTTTTTCATATACGCTTTCCTTTCAGCAGTCCGCTGCTGCTCAGATCATCACATCGGATCGCCTGGCGTGGCGCATCACAGACATATCGTCCAGTTCGCTGGTTTCTCTGCGTCTTTGCTTGGATTCAAACGCTTCTCGCTGTCGATCTCGCAACAGTTCGACGGCTTTGCGAGCCGAAGCTGCTTCTGCGAGTTCCTGTCGTGCTTGCTCGATCTGCTCGATCAGTCCTGCGAGCTCGATAACGAGTTTCTGAGCGGAGAATCGGTTGCTCAGCGCCGCATTTGCTTGGAGCCTTGCGCCTCTGAAGTCGATGGTTTCGCCGCTTGCGAGCATCTGAGCGAGTGAGGTTTGCTCGTGTTCGATGTTTTGCTGATACCCACGGATCCGGCTTTCGATCTCGAAACGCTCCCGCTCGAGTTCACTCAGCGCGAGCTTTTTCTGTTCTTCTTCGCGTTCGCGCATCTCGAGGACGGGCTGGAGTCGGAAATGGAATCGTGCCATTCAGATCACCCCCCGCTTGCTCGCATGCCTGGACCAGCGGGCATCTGCTGCTGATTCGCGGATTGTGATTGCGCGATCGCTTGACGCTGCTGGATCATCTCGCCCGACTGCAACGCGAGCTTGACCATCATCTCTTTGGCGGGCTCGAACTTCGCGGCTTCATCGGTCCGCTGCCCAAGCAGTTCAGAGATCACCGGCTGCATATCTATCGCGGTGTCTGCTTCAGGATTGACTCCCTGCGCGTACGCGCCGATCTGGACCAGATCCTCGATCTCTCGATACTTCGCGATGAGCTTGGAGATCTGCACTCTTCCTGCTTTGTGGGCGCTATCGGTGACATCATTCGCGACACGCGAAACCGAATCGAGCACATCGACCGCCGGGAACTGTCCTTTGTGCGCGAGTTTGCGCGAGAGCACGACGTGACCATCGAGGATCCCGCGTGCCGCATCGGAGACCGGCTCGGTCATGTCGTCCCCCTCGACCAGAATCGTGAACAGCCCTGTGATGGATCCCCCACCCATGCCGTTTTCTGGTTCGATTGTTCCGGAGCGTTCTAAGAGTTCCGCCATTGCTGAGAACACGCTGGGGGTGTACCCCTTTGTGGTTGGGGGTTCGCCGACTGAAAGTCCGACTTGCCGCTGCGCGTGCGCGAATCTCGTCACTGAATCCATCATGAGCAGGACATCTAGACCTTGGTCTCTGAAGTACTCGCTCGCGGTGCACGCGAGCTTGGCGGCTCGGATCCGCAGCAACGGAGACTCATCCCCAGTCGCAACGATTACGACCGAACGCTTCAAGCCTTCATCTCCCAACGCGTGATCGATGAAGTCACGCACTTCTCGACCACGCTCACCGATCAGCGCGATGACATTGACATCCGCATCGGTCCCTCGCGCGATCTGTCCCAGGAGCGTGGACTTGCCGACACCTGGTCCGGCGAATATTCCGAGTCGCTGTCCGCGTCCGATCGGAGTCATGAGATCGAGCACTCGGACTCCGGTACGGAGTGGTTCATTGATCTTCCGTCGCTGCATGGCGCCGATCGGAGTCGGATTGATCGCTCGCTGGACGGTCTCGCAAATTTCACCCTTGCCATCGATCGGTCTTCCGAGTCCATCGATCACACGCCCGAGCATGCGATCTCCAACTGGAGAGACCTGATGGACTTGCTTCATCTGGATTTTGGAGCCTGGGACAATGCCTGTCGTGGCGCTCAGGAGCATGACGATCGCTTTGCCGGAATCGAATCCCACGACTTCGCCTGAGATGTGCTGTCCATCCAGAGCGATGATTTCCACGAGCGAACCGATCGGGACAGGGAGATCCGTCGCGATGATGGACATCCCACGAACCGCTTCGACACGGCCACATATCCCGAGCGGGCAGACGCGATCGATGATCTCCTTTTCGCGTGGGAACAGTTTCACGCCGCGTCTTCCTTGGAGTTGCCCTCGTCGTTGTCGTTCTCTTCTAGGTGTTGATCGTAATCCGGTCCTCGATGCGCTGGTAGAAGAGTCGCGACTATGCGATCGAGTTGTTTTGTGATGGAAGCATCGATCAAACCTCCGCCTTTGGTCGAGACGACACATGATCCTGGCGCGAGCGATTCATCCCCCACCAGTTCGGCGTGAGTACAAGAAGCACATTGCTCGATCATCGCGGGCATAACACGTTGGAGCAGTTCGATATCTGTAGGATGCACACGCACACGGATATCTGTCGGAGTCACGAGCGACTCAAGCACCACTTCGAGCTGGTCTACAACGACCTCAGGATCGAGTTCAATCGTGCGCTTGATAACGCGAGATGCGATGTGAGCCGCGAGTTCAATGACTTCTGTCCGCGCGGCGAGCATGAACTCGTTGCGTTGCTCTTCCCATGTGCTAAAAGCAGATTCCCACTGCTTTGATATGGTTTCGAGACGCTGCGAGTGTTCAGCGTGCGATTGCTCAGTCCCCCTGACTGTTCCTTCTTCAAGTCCCTGAGCAAGTCCTTCTTCGTAGCCCTTCTGATGTCCCGCTTCTGAAGCATCTTTGACGAGTCGATCGCGCTCTTCGTTTGCCTGTTTCAGGATCTGAGCAGCTTCTTGCTGCGCGGATTCGATGACCGCATGTCCTCTTCGTTCGAGGTCTCCCAAATCCATGGGGATCGCATCACGCGTATAGCTCTCGAGGTCTGCTCTTTTGATGACACCCATCTGTGGGACCTCCGCGCTGTATTAGACGACCATTTCCGAGTCACCGCCTCGTCCCTCGATCATGACATCGCCGGCTTCTTCCAGACGACGCACGATGTCCACGATCCGCTGCTGAGCCGTCTCGACATCGGAGACACGAACAGGCCCCATGAACTCCATATCTTCCTTGACCATCTCCGCGGCACGCTCGGACATGTTGCTGAAGATCTTCTCGGCGAGTGCTTCGCTCGCGGTCTTGAGTGCCACAGACAGCTCGTCGTTCTCGACCTCTTTGAGGACAGCTTGAATGCCCTTGTCATTGACAAGCTTGATGTCCTCGAAGACGAACATGAGTCTGCGGATTTCTTCGACCAGATCCGGGTCGTCGGATTCCAGACCTTCCATGATGGTCTTTTCTGTTGCGCGATCCGCGAGGTTGAGGATCTCTGCGACGGTTGGTACGCCACCGGCTTTCTCCATGCTCTGCATGAGCATGTTACTCAGTCGGCTCTCAAGTCCGATCTCGACTTCCTTGATCACCTCGGGATTCGTCTGCTCCATATTCGCGATGCGCTTGATGACCTCCAGCTGCTTCTCCATCGCGAGACCCACCAGAATCTCGGAAGCCTTGTGGTGCGAGAGATGACAAAGAATCAGCGCGATCGTCTGCGGATGCTCTTCTTGGATAAATGTCAGTAAGTTGTCGCTCTCTGCTCGCTGGAGGAAACTGAACGGGGTTTTTTGTACCTGTGTTTGAATCTGTCCGAGCACGCGTTCGGCATCGCTCGGATCCATGGAGTTCTGAAGGAGTTGCTTCGCGTAAGAGAGGGATCCCTCGTTTGCGTATTGCGATGCGACTGAGATGTTATAGAACTCTTCGACGACCGCGTTCTGGAGCACATCGGGAACTCGCCCCAGTGATGCGAGTTCGCGTGTGATCTCTTCGACCTTCTCGCTTGGGAGGTGCTTGAGAACTGTGGATGCTTGATCAGAACCCACTGAGAGCAGGAGGATCGCGGCTTTGGATAAACCTTCGAGCTCTCGCACATCGGTCGGCAATGGTTCGTTGAGTTTGCGTGCCATGTGCGTTCCTTACTCCTCGACCTCGGCCCAGCGTTCGATCAGCGCCGCCGCGGCTTCCGGATCTGCGTTGATGAGTTCACCCACCTGATCGCGGAGTTGTTGAATCTCGATCAATGCGTCCTCGACCTCGATGCCGGTCATCGCGGCATCTCCTTCGTCTGCTTCTCCGATCATGTCGCTCATCCCTTCTAGCTGTGGAGGGATTCCGACTAACTCCTCGGCAGATGGGAGTTCGATGTTCTTGCTTGAGCGTTTCACCATCAACAGCATCATGAATACAGCAACCACGGCAAGCACACCAACGAGGAGCGTCTCGATGAGGTTCCCGTTCCCAAGCAGCAGGGATGGCCCACCCGATCCGCCTCCGCCGAGCATGGATCCCATGAATCCTGCAGATTTGACTTGACCGATACGATTGTACGACTCTCCAATCGGCGCCATGGAGACCACAACATCGCCATCAAGGATTGAACCATCGGGCGATTGTCCGATGAGGTGCGGCTGCACTTGCTGCATGATGAGCGATTTGAATCCGGAGTTGCCGTCCATACCCTCGAACTTCTCACGGATGTCCTCAGCGGTGATCGGAGCGGGCTCGCTTCCGTCTTCACTTTCCGGCTGCGCTGATGCGAGCAGTTCACGGATGTACTCTTCGGGAATGATGATCGATGCGCGGATATGCGTAGGCATCCCGCGCGGATCGACGGTCTGTGTATCGGTATACCCAAACTGGTTGTCGTACTCCTTGATGGTGTCGGAGGATTCGGACGAGTTCCCACTCGCTCCGCCGGTGTTAATACTCGCGGTCTGATTGGAACGCACTCCAGGTTCAGCTCCACGCGATGCTTGCTGCATCTTGTCTTCTGTCGCGCCTTGCGATTTGACAAGCGACACAGATCCCTGGTCCGCGAGTGAATACGCACGCTCTGTGCTTGCGACTTTCTTCACATCCACCATCGCGCTGACAGACACGATCACGCCGGGGATATGTCCCAGCATCTCTTTGATCTGCTGTTTTTTGCCGTCCGCGACAGTCTGAGATTGATCAAGGAACTTGGAGGACATGCGAGAGTCTTCAGAAGACACCGATCGTGCTTGGCCTGTTGATCCATCGATCACTTGAATGTGTTTTGGATTAAGACCAGATACGGCTCCCATTACCATCCCCGCTGCGGCATCCACGGTATCCTGAGAGAGAGGAGATCCACCAGCCGTGAAGATCGTAATCGAAGCGGAGGGTGTCCGAACGGCACGGCCCAATCCTGAGTTCTGAGGCACATCGAGGATCACATTCGCGGAGTTCACAAAACGAAACTGCGAGATGATCCGTGACAGTTCGTTCTGCATCGCGATATTGAACTGCTGACGATGCTGTTCTTTGGATGCCTTCCAGTCTTGTGATTGAATAAGATTCTGAAAGAGGAGCGTGGTATCCCCTGGGAGTTGCCCCGATTGAGCGAGCAGCGCCATTGCGGATGTGCGCTGAGACGGAGGAACCTGAATATTCCCATTGACGACCTGCGCGTCGATCCCGGCGGATCGGAGTGATGCGAGCGCCATGGTGTCCCCTGATTCAGCCATCAAATCGACGAGAGCAGGTTTGGATGCATACTGGGAGACCAAAAACATGGTCATCGCGGCGATCACAGCAAGTGAAGCGAGTAGGAGCTTCTGTGAAGCGGACATCTGCCCAATGTATTTGCCCGCGTTATCTATGACCTGTCGCAGCTGATTCATCGAACCTCGGCCTCCATGCCGTTGACGGCGTCATCCTGACACCAACCACCCAAGAAAGGTGGTCCGGATCAACATCGGCCGACCACGGCGCAAAGCTTGACAACCAAACGCATGATCTGCGCTTCGATTTTCAGAATGTGGAGTTTGTTGCGCAACGCGCGGAATAAGGTCGACTGTATCAGACACGCATCTGCTTGACTTCGTCGTAGGCCTGCATCACCTGATTCCGCATTGCCTGGAGCATCTTGAAAGCGGTGTCCGCTTTCTCAGTCGCGGCGATTACGCCTTCGATATCGTCACGCTTGCCCGTAATCAGGTCCTCAGCGGCTTGGGTCGCGTCCTGTTGGAGCGCATTGACCTCTTTGAGATTACCCATCAGTAGTGCTTTGAAGTCGGCGCCATCGCCGTTGGGGGTATTGTTGGAGCCACCGACACCGCTTGGGAGCTTTCCTGCTCCTCCAGAAGAACCAATTAGTCCGAGTGGGTCACTCACAATCAAATCTCCAAGGTAGGCGTCTTCAGCCTACCAGATCATGCGAGGAGTCGCAAAGCCTGTGCCATCATGTTCTTGGTTGTTTCCGCGGCAACAATATTCGCCTCATACGCACGAGATGCTTGCAGACCATTGACCCACTCCACCGTTGGATCGATGTCAGGGACTTGAATGTAGCCGTTTACCGCATTTGGATGATCCGGGCGGTGCTCCGGTCGTGTAGTGCCTTCTTGAATCTGGATCTCGTTGACCTGCACACCGATTCCGGCTCCATCTGGCGAGGACTTTGGAGAAAACATCGCGGCACGACGGAGATACGGCTCGTACTCGCCGAACTCGTTCTCGATCGTGTTTGCGTTGGCGATATTGGACGCAACGACTTCCATGCGTGTCCGCTGAGCGATCATGCCGCTTGTTGATACATCGAGTGAGCCGTACATTGGTCAGTCCTTCTGATTCGTTCCTTAGACGACGCGCTGTGCGATCGCGTTCTGAAGTTGGGTCCGCTGAGTACGCAGCAAATCTGCTGCCACTCGATACGCGGTTGCGTTTTCAACCATGTCCTGCATCATCCGCTCTAAGTCGCGATTGTTGCGATCGTGATGGAGGATCCCCCCATCGCTGCTTGTGGGATTGAGTCGAAAGTCCATGGATCGCCCCACGCGACGGATCTCGGCTGTTTCTTTCCATTCCAGCGCCCCGAATGCTCCGCCGTTGCGTTTACGGCGATCCTCGATCGCTTCACCGAGCATTTCTTGGAATGCATGCGGATCGACATCCGTCGGCTGGAAGTTGGGGGTATCGATGTTCGCGATGTTGTGCGCGAGAATCTTCTGACGCTGACCTGCGAACTTCAGCAGCATCTCTGCCGCTGGCATCGCTCCTGAACTGGATAGGTCTTTGATCATCGATGTGCCTCAGTATGAATCCCGCATGATCGGTGCCAAACGCTTTACAGGTTCGGAGACACCAAGCTGTCTTCTTTCCATTTCTTGAGCTTGAGGCCGAGCGTCCGCACGCCGATCCCGAGAGCTTTTGCGGTTTTCTGACGATGCCCGTTGAATCGCTTGAGTGTCGCAACGATCTCTTCGCGCTCAATCTCCGCAAGGGTCTTATCACCAGGCCTGTAGTCCACCTTCGGCTCAGCGAACGAGGACATTGTCGGCTGGAACGACTGCTCTGGTACGGATGCTTGCACAGGTACGCCATTGTTCGCCGGAGGGTTGCTCGCACGCAGCGGCATCGCTTTGGGCATCGGACGAGATTCCATCAACCAAGGCTCGATGGTTTCACGATGGATCTCATTTGCTTTCGGATCCGACAAGACGACGGCACGCTCGCAGATGTTCTGGAGCTCACGAACATTCCCAGGCCAGTTGTAGGTCGAGAGCAGCTCGATCGCCCCTTCGCTCATCCGCATCGTACGACGACCATCACGATTCACAATCCTCGAGACGAAGTGCTCAGCGAGTGGCTGGACATCTTCCAATCGGTCACGCAACGGCGGGATCTGGACTGGCAGCACATTGAGCCGGTAGAACAAATCCTGTCGAAACTCCCCCATCGCTGCCGACTTGGGGAGATCACGATTACTTGTTGCGATCACGCGTACATCGACCCCGATGGTTGTGCTCGATCCCACACGCTCGAACGCACGCTCCTGGAGCACACGGAGCAGTTTCGCTTGGATCTGAGGCGAGACTTCTGAAACTTCATCGAGCAAGAGCGATCCGCCGTCAGCGAGCTCGAAGCGCCCCTTCCGCATCGAGTCCGCGCCGGTGAACGCGCCCTTCTCGTGTCCGAAGAGCTCGGATTCGAGTAAGGATTCGTTGAGTGCTGCACAGTTCACCGCAAGATACGCGGACTCATTGCGTGGACTCAGGTCATGCACGGCGTGTGCGACGACTTCCTTACCTACCCCCGACTCGCCCGTGATCAATACTGTGCCGTGACTGGAAGCGACGGCACGCACCTGTTCACGGACTTTACGGATCGCGCTGGAACGACCGATGATCCGATCAAGTCCGGTTGGCCCAGTGATGGATTGATTGCATCGGGCGTTTGCTTTGAGGATCGCGTTCTCTTTGAGTACCGCCGCGTGTCCGATCGCTCGCTTGACGGCAATGATCATCTCATCACCCTCGAACGGCTTAGTGATGTAGTCGTACGCACCGTTTTTCATCGCTTGCACTGCCGTCTCGATCGTACCGAACGCGGTCATGAGGATGACTGGGAGTTCGTTGTCGATGTCCCGAATTTCTGCAGTAAGATCCACGCCGGTCATGCCGGGCATGTTGAGATCAGTCACCACGACATCGGGACGCTTGGACGCGATTTCTTTGAGCGCGGATCGTCCATCCACGGCGGTTCGTACGCTGAATCCTGCTCGTGTCAGCGTAGAGCCGACCGAATCGCGCATCATTTCCTTGTCATCCACAACCAATACTGACTTGTTGCTCACGCGACTTCCCCTTGAGCTTGAAGACTCTGTGTTCTCACTACTTGTTCTTTCGACTCAGCCATCGGACCCGCACGGACGACGACCTGACCTTGCCCCTCTTCGGGCAACTCTTTGACGACTCGCTTTGGGAGCAACAGCGACACCGTCGCCCCGCTCGTCCATCCCGAATCGTCCGTGATGTTTTGTACTTCTACTGATCCGCCGTGCGCATCCATGATCCGATGCACAATGGACAATCCAAGCCCTGTCCCCGCGGCTCGAGTGGTGAAGAACGGGTTGAACATCCGCTCGATCACGCTTTCTTCGATACCCCCGCCGCTATCGCGGACCCAGACTTGCCAAAGCTCTGGGGTTTCCGAGACGCCGAGCTCAATGGTCTTCCCGCCATGATCGTGGGTCGCTTGGGCGCCGTTTCGGATGATGTTGATCAACGCTTGATGCAACAGCGGAGCGTCCGCTTGAATGGTTTCGCACGAGCGATCAACCTGGACAGCGACCTCGATGCCCTCGAGCTGCGCCAGACACGCATCGCACGCATCACTCAGCACAACCTCAGCGAGACATTCACTTCTTCGCGCTTTGATCTCACGCGAGAAGGTGAGGACATCACCCACAATCTGATCGAGTCCAGTCACGGCGCGACCGATCTTCTCCACGATCTCACATTGATCCGGCATCTCGGCGAGGTCTTCTTTGAGCATCCGTGTATATAAACGAATTGATCCCAGCGGGTTACGGATCTCGTGCGAGATCCCTGCGGCCATTTCTCCGAGCGCTGCGAGTCGCTTTGATCGCTGTAACGCTTCGTTCGCTTGAGTGAGTTCGGTGTTGAGACGAGCGACCTCGCCGCGGAGTTGGGTGTGGGTGCTCTCGAGCTTCGCAGTCACTTCGTTGAACGAAGCCATGAGCTCCGCGAGGTCTCCCGCAGAGAGTGATGGAGCATGATTGAAGGCTTGCTCGCTCACGCTCAACCCTTTCGATCCTGGAGTGTTGGGTTGGGCGCTTTGTTCCCGCCGCGATACGCTCGCATCGCGTTGCGTGAAGCCCCGACTCCCGTGAGTTGTTTGGAGAGTTCATCGCGTCGATGCTCAACCACGGCTTGTTGGTCCGCGTCACGCTTGAGAATGCCTTCGATCATCGAGGACATCTCGTCAAGCTGCTCACGCGCCGACTCGATCTGTTTGACATCAAAACCGTCGCTATCAAGGAGCTTTTCGACGAGTTGCCCCGCTTGAGCGAGCGTTTGGATCTTGGGATTTCTGGAGTTGAGCGACTCGACGAACGCTTCGAGCTCATCGGCATCGAGCAGTCTTTGCTGCTGTACACCGATCTCGTCGATCTGCGAGCACAGCACACGCATCTCTCCGAGCAGAGATCGGACGCGATCAGATTGTGTCCCTCGGGCTTGATGCTCGGTCATCCGTGACCTCCAGACATGAGCCGCTACATCCATTCAGCGACCTCTCCGATGAATCGGAGATGTTGTAGCTTGGTTATCGGCTGTTTGTGCGCATCACTCCACTTTGGAGCGCACTTTCCTGCGTCGACGCTCTTAGGAAGTGGGCACGGCACTCAGTAGCATGGCGCTCGAATCGAGCCAACGCTCCCAATCTGCCCGATCCATCGGGAGATTCGGGTCGTCCCAGACCTCGTCAGGAATGGAGTTGTAGAAACGCTTCGCTCGCTCATTCGCTGTCGCGGCTCGTCCGAGTTCGTCTTTCGCGATGTACGCATTCACGATCTGGACCATCGCGACGAGCGACGCGGGATCATCGGAGTAGCGATCGCGAGCGATGTCGTAGTAGCGGATCGCTTCGTCGTAGTCCTGGAGATCGAACGTGCAGTCTCCAAGATAGAAATGCGCATTTCGCAGCGCGATGTTCTCAAAGATCCCCATCCTGCTGAGCCTGAGCGCTCCGAGTGCGGTGATCGCGCCCTCATAATGCTCGATTGCTCGGGATCGGTGCGTACGCATCTTGGCGATCCGCTCATTGCGCTCCGCGGCGGGCATCGCTTCTCCCAACGATTGCTCGATCCGATCTCCCAATCGTCGATGCGCCTCTGCGAGGCGATAGATGACCACCGCGGTCTCGGGATCACCCTCGTAGCGCGATACAAACTCTTCATAGCGCTCGATCGCACGCTCAGCGCGTCCGGTCGAGTCGTAATGTCCCGCGAGTTCCAGCAGTGCTGTACGGTAGAGTTCCGTTTCAGTGGACACTTTCGTGCCGCTCAGTGCCGTCAGCAGGAGCTGCTCCGCTTTCGCATCGTTTGCAGGGTCCTCATCGTATAAATACGCTTGCGCCAAGGGAACGAAGCTCGAATCCGCAAAGGGTCCGATGTCAGCACCCAATACACCCTCTCGATCCTGGATCAACTGCTCGAAGATCTCCGCTGATTTCTGAAAATCTCCGATTGCTCGAAGCGATTCACCCAAACGGAACAACGCTTCGGCGTACTTTGGATCCGATGGCATCGAGTCGGCATAGGTCTGGAACGCGATGATCGCTTCTCGCTGATCTCCAGCGCGATCGTACAGATCCGCAGCTGTCCACAGTGACTGCGCGTGCCTAGGAAGATTGGTTACCACGAATCGTTCGGCATGCATCCGTGCATTGGTTGCCGCAGCAATCAGATGTCGCTGAACCTGAGCGCGTGTCGACGGATCCAGTCCGAGCAACGATCGGGTTTCATCGATTGGACCACCGAGTAGTTTCTCAGCCATCGCGCGGTGTCCATCCATGAGCATCGCGAGGATTTCTGCAGGAAACACGACACTTTGCTCGTCGGCGTACAATCGCTCGCCTAGGTTGGTGTAGCGGAGTGTATCTTCTGGATTACCTGCAGCGAGTGAGTCGCCGGCGCGTGCCAAGATCGAATCGAGGACTTGTTTCCGACTCGGCTCAGACTCGATTCCGAGTGAGTTGTAGTTCCCGACGAGTGTGTCATACGCTTCGATGGAAAGTTCTGATTCACCTACTGCTGCTTGTGTTTCACCCAATCCCACGAGTGCCCAAGCGTATGACCTATCCCTAGAAAAGTTGTCCGAGATCTGCGCGTACAGATCACGCGCTTCGTAGGTGTTGCCTTCGATATCTTCGAGCTGAGCGTGTGCAAGGAGAATCTGCGAGTAATGAGGATCGCCAGCTCCTGATAGTTCATACGCGTGACTGATCTGTGTCCGCGCCATGCTATTCGCGCCAAGTTCGAGATATCCGCGTGCAAGAAGAAGGTGGAGTCGCGAGCGTCCGTCTGCTTGAGCGCGTTCGAGTCGCGGCATCTCTCGCAAGATTCTCGTGATGGTCTCATCAACGAATCCTGCTTCAAGCTGGATGCGTGCTTGATGCTCCATCGCCCAAACGCGTTGGTTGATTGACAGTTCAGAATCCGCGAGCATCTCACCGAGCATCTGCATCGCGGAATCGATCTCAGGGACTGGTCTGTCCAAGAGGTCTTCAACGATCTGATGGTTCAATCCGTCACGCAGGTCTCTGCGTGATTTGGGGATCTGCGCTACACGATTCTTTGCGTTCTCGAGTTCGCCTCTTGAGAGATAGGTCCGAGCAAGAGCCGCGAGGTCAGGTGCGTCGAGCACGGCACCTAATCGCTCTGCTTCAAGGTATTCGCGGATGATCGAGACATGATTCCGATCGTCCTCAAAGCCAGCGGCTCGCTGACCACGATCGATCGCGCGTGCTTTATTGAGGTGGTAATGGACTTTGTCAGCCGTGGACGCTCCATCGGGTTCCACGACATATGGATAGACCTTTGTATTGAGCAGTTCAATCGCTTGCTCATAGTGCTCGTTCTTGAGCAGGACATCCGATTGCTTGAGTGCCGGCTTCAATGATGGATCGGGTTTACTCGAGATGCCGTACGCGAGTCCGAGCAAAAGCAATCCACCAGTCGCAAGGATCGCGGGGGTTTGCCAGAGATCGCGCCAGTCGCGTTTGACCGCTTCGACCGGATCGATCGCGGGACCTTGTTCAGTCTTCGCGTCATCACTCGATTGCTCGACAGTATTTTGGACTGGTTCTTCGCTCACACGATTCCTTCACACAGAACAACCCACACCCCATCGGGGGTGCGGTGCCGTACCTTCTTTATGTCGGCACAAACTCGGCGGGATCTGAAGTTCTCGGACCTCGGCTGGGCAATTTCAGGCGATTGATGCTGTGGATCTGGACTGTGGGTCAGGGCTGGGGATCTGCACGCGGTGCATCGAGATCGATCGATTCGTGAATCCTGTACGCTCTGGACAATCGGCTGGGGTTGTAGACCATCGATCGAATTGACTTCTGCGATGGCTCCGAAAGCTCGATCCGGATGAATCCACCTTGAGTGCGTGGATCGCGGACTTCGACCTTCCCTGGGATCTCTACGCCGCTTTTGAGTCTTTGCTCCGTGAGCAGATCTTTGTAGCGTGACAGACCTGTCGTAGCGAGACGCTCGCCGTAGGCATCAAGGCTGCGGACCAAGATCGGGAGTCCTCGCCCTGGATCGAACCAGTACTCGGATTCTCCCCATCCTTCCAATCTCGATGGGAATCGGATCGCGATCAGTCCTGAGGAATCTTCCCATCGTGTATCGATGATCGATTCTGGATCAATAGGTTCGATACCCAGCACAGTAATCAGATCCGCTGGATGGACACTGAGTCCGATCTCTTCCGCTCGCAGTGGAGTGATCTTGTCGAGCGATCCAATCAACGCGACTCGGTTGTCCGAGTTTGAGAGGTCGAACATCCAGTATTGCTCAGTACCTGAGCCGTACGCGAAGTAGGTTTCTCCGAGTTTCCCGATGCTCAGTGATACAGATTCAGGTCGAGTGACCTGGAGGTGTCCTTCGCCTTGCTCTTCGAACCACTCGCCTCGTGCATCGGTGCCTTTGATCCGGACGGACACTCGCGCCCACACGCGTTCTATGGACGCGACGCGTTCATTATGAAACTGGATGATCTGGTCGATCTCTTCTTGCGTCACGGCTGATCGCTTTGAGCCGCTGCTGCTGCATCCAACGCTCATCACGAGCAGGAGCATGAACAGCACAGATTGGAGCACACGAAGCATCATGAGGCGCCTTGATCGAATTGGATGACCTGTCCGAGTTCCTCGATCGCGGCGGCGATCGCTTCGTCGTCCATCTTCGGATCGATGACCTCGAAGACGGGGCCTCCCCCACCCTTGACCTTCTGGCGGACCTTGAGCACCGAGGGGTTCTCGTCGTCTCCGGCGATCATGCCTTCGAGTTCGATTTTCTTTTTGCGCATTAGCATGAGCGTCAGCAGATAACGGAATCCGATCTGCTTCTCTTCGGTCGCTTCTCCGAGTTGCTCGAACAGGTCGAAGATCTCGTCATCTGAAACCAACGGTGTTTTCTTCGATTCCCCCGGCTCCGGGACGCGGCGTCTCCAGAATCCAAACAGCGAAACGCCTTCATCAAAGTCGATCCCTTGCTCCCAGACATCCATCGCATAGAGCACACGATTGAGTGTGGAGTCGCCCGCGGTCTCGAGGAGCGCCGCGATGTGCTCCTCACCAATATCGAGCTCGCGACCCGATGCGGCGCAGACTTCTTGGGATCTCGTGATTTCATACGGCGATGCGGAACTACTCATGCTTCAAGTGTATCCGACTTCAACAAGACACATTGAAGAACCGCTGATCTGTGGCGCCATCGCCCGTCCCGACGCGGAACTTCATGCATTTGCCGCATCTGGCGCAGCGTGCAAGGTACTCCGTCCCGGCGGTATTGCGATAGACACGCTGGTATTGACCGCTGCAGGTAAAGCGGACCCCCAACCAGGGGCGTTCGTTGGGTTTGGGGTGCATCTCTCCAGGAGGCGGGACTCCAGGCGTGACTCTCAGTGACATACCCAAACTATCGTCAACCACGCTGTGCTCACTTGACTGGGCTGTCGTCAAAACCGGGTGCGGACCGATGATTTGGGCATCGAGTCCGTATTGTTGATAGAATCCAGACCACACCTATGTCCGGCGTCTTGTCCATCTTGCCTGATCCACCGCCTCCGCCCGCACCGATCGGGCTGATCGCGGGTGGCGGTCGGCTCCCTATTCTGGTCGCGGATGGACTCCGCGAAATGGGGCACAGTGTCCACGGCATTGGGATTCACGGACGCTACGACCCAACACTCCCAAAGCTCTGTGACAGTTTCAAGGAAGTCGGATTGCTGCGATTGGGATCGTGGGGACGCAAGCTCAGGGCGCGAGGGGTCAAGCACGCGATCATGGTGGGTCATGTCGATAAAGCCGAGATCATGCACACGCGTTGGAGGTTGTTCAAAAACATCCCCGATCTGACTACGATCAAGGTGGTGATGACCCAGCTTCGTCACGATCG